CCACGGATCGACGATCTCATCACCGGTTTTGAAGGAATGATGTGGTTTATGAGTCTTGACATGGCAAGTGGTTTCTGGGCAGTCCGAATGACTGAAAGGGCTAAGTTGATCTCGGCGTTTACCTGTCCATTTGGGCATATCCAATGGGTGCGTATGCCATTCGGGTTAAAAAACGCCCCACTAATTTACCAGCAGATGATAAATAATTGTCTGTGGGGATTTGTGCAGCTATCACCTGAAGAGGAAGCACTCGTGGATCAAGATGTGTTAGACTACTTGAAGTTGAACCCTCAGTCGCCTAGTGATAAGATGGACGTCGAACGCAGCATGACACCACTTGTGGAACAGATGACGGTTTTCAGGCGCAACATTCCCGCGCCATCCCAAATGGGGCCAGTCTTGGGGCGTAGTTCATATATTGATGACATCGCGCATGGGGCGGCCACGTGGGATCAACTATGCTAGATGCGCTGCTTTATCGGTTACGGTATTGGAGTATCTCAGTTAGTTTGCCCAAGAGTGAATTCGGGAAGCGTGTCATACCATACCTCTCCCATGAGATTGGTGCTGAGGGGATACGTGTCACCCCGAAGATCGTAAAGGGCATTCAGGAGCTACCGTTTCCGTCTACCCTGAAAAGGAGTTCAGTCATTTCTAGGCAGCTTGAATTACTACCACAAATTCATCGAGGATTATGCTGTGGTAGCCGCTTCACTCTATGAGCTGACTGACGATCAAGTGCGTGCAGGACGAGACCTGTCTCGGGCGTAGGAATCTTTCGAGATCCTGAAGAAGAAGATTGTGTCTACACCTCTACTCAGACACCCGGATAGAACGAAACCTTTCGTGATCATCCCTCATGCGAATCAGTGGGCTGCTTGCGCAGTTCTAGGACAGATGCATGACGGACTTGTCCAACCAGTTCGTTTCACGGGGCGTGTCTTGAGTGACGCCGAACTCAAGTATCATATTGCTGAGAAAGAAGTCCTTGCTGTAATGCGAGTTCTCCATGTGTTCAAAAACGTGATCAAAGGATGTCCGCTGATAATCTACACTCGACATTCAGTGTTGAAGTGGGTCATCAACTCTAGGACCGCTGAAGGCCGTTTGGTGCCATGGGGCGTTGCTCTCTCACAGTATGATTTGGAGATTCGGAAAGTCAGTCGAGATGAGGATGGCCTAGCCGCCATTATGGGTGCAGGTATCACTCCCAGGGAGCACTTGGATGAAGTCGCCGAAGTACTCATTCCAGCCAAGGGGCGCGTCAAGCCGCCTCCAGTCGTGAGCGTC